AGAGGGGGAAAAGGGTGCGCCGCCCACTGGAACTTGCAAGGGGCGGCGAAGCAAGGAAAGCAAAAGAGAACAGGGGTGTTAACCATTCCAGCAAAGCCCAAGCAGCAAGCAAAAATAAAATTATGGGGTTTAAAAAAAAGCGGCCCTCTAAAAAATGCAATGCGTAGCGCTGGGCAAATTTATTATTATTATTATCACTGAGGCGTCCCAAAAGTAATCTCTCCCTCTTGCGTTCAGCAGAGAGCCCTCGTGCCCCACAGCCCCAGCAGGGCAAGCAGCAATAGCCGAGACACACACCCACGCAGAGCGCCGTCGCTGTTTCCCTCGCTGGGCCTCAAGCCAGTCATGTTCCTGAAGGCGGCGGAGCTGTTGCCGGGAAGAACAGTGCCGGGGGTTTTGCTCGCGGGAGGCTGTTCAGCGTCACTGCGCGCAGGAGGGCTGCTGCCCGAGCTCAGCACCGCCTCGGAAGCAGCGTCCTTCTTTTCGGGACCCGGCGTTTCACCCTCACCCGCGGTTTCAGGCTCGGCGGCAGCCGTACCATCCCCACCCAGTCCAGCAGGAGTGTTCGTCTTCGATGCTGCTGCTGCCAAATCCGGCGGAGACCCCGAGGCGGCGTCGCCACTTTGCTCTTTGCTCTCCTTCTGCCTTTCCTCCGCCTCGTTCGGGGACTGGCCCGCATGAGATGCACCGGCGCCATCGCCAGCGTGAGTGGCTCCATGGGTTCCCCCCGATGGTGTCGGTGGTGGTGTCTGTGCTCCGCTGCCTTGCCGCAGTGCGTCCCCTTCTCTGCCTGCCGGGCCTTTGGGTGCAGAAGGCGGCTGTGAGACTGCCGGTTTCTGCGAGGGGGGAGTTCCAGCGCCCGCCTCCACAGACGCCTGTTGAGGGTCTTTAGGTAGCGCACCGTCAACCTCCTTTTCCCCTGGGGCTGGCACGGGAACGGCATCCTCCACACCGATGCCGCCGGGTGTCAAGGAGTCAGACTCCGGCTTCTTGTCCCCCGCCGCCGTCGGTAGTGGGAGTGTGACTTTGCTGTTTTTGAGTTCCCAGATCTCATCATTGCCAAGCGCGCGGTTGTACAGCAGGACGTTGGCCACCGTCACATGGCGGCTGGCCTTTGCGCCCGCCGCCACCCCGTCGCCACCAACGTAGAAGTGCGAGATCCCGCCTGCGTCGAGCAGTTTTTCCTCCCCAGAAGCGGCGTCCTCGCCATTATATCTGCGGCTGTCGTATATCTTCGCTCCCTCCACGTACACAAACAACTCATTCCAGCGCATTTGCAGCGCCACTTGGTATGTTTGGTTTGGCTCCCACTTAACATTCTCGTCTTCATCTAACAAACGCTGGCCTTGTCCGTTGACCGTCACCTTCCACTTACTCTCCTGCGTGTACGAGAGGCCGAAGAGCACAGTCTCCGCTGAGTCATTCATCCCCACACCCAGCAAAGGGGCGTCGTCCTCCGCCGGCGCCTCGTGGAGCATCACCGTCGCCGCAAGCGTGAACGCAGTGTTCGCAAAGTGGTACGGCTGGTTCTGCCCCAGTTTGCCCACGGGCCACTGCGCCCCCGCTCCCTCGCCGCTGAACGTCACCCCCCGCTTCCCCGCTGCCCCTGCCCCATTCGTTACTGTTGCGTCCACGCAGCGGTACTCGTCCACCCACTTGCCCCCAGTTATGGTGCCAGACAAAAAACCCACCAGCCCATCCGTGGGAACAGGGCCGTTGCACATGGCCTTTGTGCGTGGCTCACCCTTGTCGTCGGGCTTGCATTCTTTTAGGGCTTTGTCCATGTCCTTCCAGGTCTTCACCACAGACTTGATCTGCTCCAGCTTCGCAGTCAGGCTCACAGCGACGAGTCCGTACGAGTCATCATCGCCATTCTTCTTCTCGTACAGTGCAATCAACTCACTCGTGTCGTTTTTGTACAGCAGGGAACTGGCTGCGGCGTCATCGGCTTCACGAGACACCGGCCCAACGTCATGTACGCGTTGCATGTCCGTCGCCCAAAGATGCAGCCGGGCCCTTGTGGCGTCGCCTGCGTCCGCGGAATACACCGGCGTGGTGAGCAGCATCACCTTCTTGTCCTCAAAGGTTGTGGTGGTGAGGCCGCCCTGCACGCCGTGCCCTCCCTGGCGCCTCGGCGAGGTGCCCCACACGCGGGAAATCGGCTCGCCCACATCAAACCAGTTTCTCGCTCCCCAAGAGGTCGCGTGCACCTCGTAGTAGCCGCCCGCACAGGGAGCCATCGCGAGGACTTTGTTTTTTCCCACTCCACGATGGATGGGTCGCTGCAGCTCGCGCCGGTCGTATCGTACGAAAGC